CAGTATTGTGTGACTGTCTACCATTTTGTCATCTGATGTGATTTCCCTGTGTCTTGTAAATTATATCACTATGATGTAATAAGATGGATTAGTGGCAGTTATATTGATGAGGTCTACAAGATTAGATAGTGTCTTAAGCCAATCTCTTTTGAGATATAAAAAAGAGAATCGAGCAGAGAAATAGGGAGACCTCATACCACTAAGAAAGCAGTGCTGGGAGTAGAGCCTGTCCTTTAGACCTTAGGTTCCTGTGCTGAGATGCTCCCAGAACAAGGAACGACTGATGACAAGGACCTTCCTCCAGAACTGACAGAGAAAGCTTTCCCCTGGAGCTGACGCCCTGAATTTGGATTTGTAACCTAATAGACTGTGAGAGAATAAATTTCTCTTTGTTGAAGCTATCCACTTGCGGTATTTCTGTTATAGCAGCACTAAATGACTAAGACAATCCTCAACAAGATGTACTGACATAGTGGCTGCAACAATGGGCTCAAGTATAACAACAATTGTGAGGATGGTACAGGACCAGGCAGTGTTTCGTTCTGTTGTACATGGTCACTATGGGTTGGAGACAATGCGGTGGCACAACATATTGGACAATACTCTGTTGTGATCCATGGCGTTTTCATTGGCTAATTTTGGACGTACATCACCAGGCTTTTTCTTCCTACTCTATCTTTGTCTGCAAGCTCCACTGAAACCTGTCCACCATGGGTGACCCTGCTGGTATTTGAAATACCAGTGCCACAGTTTCCACCATCATAGCAACATGCAAGCCACCACAGTACAACAAACTGACAGCTAAGTGGTGATCACAAACAATAGACAGCCATTGGTATTATCAACAAATGATTACTGAGTTCTTACTGGGTGCTGGGTGCTTATGCTTGAAGAATAAAGACAGTTTACATCCTCAGAGATTCTGTAAGTATTAAACACACTTCTAGGTCAAGATGGCTTGTTAAGCATATTATAAAATCCCCTTTCCTACTCCAAACACATAGAACGCTAAATAAAATACGTATTTTAGTTAACAATTTAAATATCCAATTTTGAAAAAAAGAAAGGGAACTCTTCAGCCTCCTGAAACTGAGAGGAAACCCGTAGTACCCAGTGAATGAGAAGTAAAGACTGGGTCCTTGGCACAAGTGCTGGGGCCAGATTCAGACTTTCAGTGTCCATGCAGAGACAGGAGACAAGGCTGCAGGCTTTCTGTAGGGAACTGGAATCTCTGCATGAGGCTAGAAGAGGGATTACATTGCCCTTCTCTGACAAGGGGGCCATGATGAATCAAAAGATAAGATGATAAGATAAGGATTATCTGGACTAGGACGTAAGTTGACCTGGGTCACATATAAACTCCCACAGCCTTGGGTAGAAGTATAGTTACCTGGGGAAGTCCAGGACCCAAGCCTGTACCAAAAGCTGGAGACAAGCTCAAATTCCCAGTATCTTCATGGTTCAAGAGCTCTAAGCCGACAGTAAAATAAGACCTGGTTTGGGGCCTGTGTACCCTATAAGGCCCAGCTGAGCCAATCCCCCCACAGGAAAGCCCCACAACCCTGTTCCACACAAGATAAAACTCCCATAAAAGGTAGTTCCTGTAGAAGATGTGCTCACAGACAAGAAATTTAAAACATATGGGGATGTTCAATTCCATAAAGATATGCTGGCCACAGAATAATTCGTACCCAAAGAATGACAAATAACAGAGAGATATTAAAGGTACTTTAAAAATAAACATGTATTACATTGCCCCAGCCCTGCAAGGTACTGCCATCTAGCTGGTGCCATAATTGTGTCTTTAGAAGTCCATTCCATTGTTCTATCAAGCCAGCTGCTTCAGGATGATGGGGAACATGGTAAGACCAGTGAATTCCATGAGCATGGGCCCATTGTTACACTTCATTTGCTGTGAAGTTAGTCCCTTCACAGGCAATGCTGTGTGGGATAACATGATGGTGGATAAGGCATTCTGTTAGTCCACAGATGGTAGTTTTGGCAGAAGCATTGTGTGCAAGGAAGGCAAATCCATATCCAGAGTAAGTATCTATTCCATTAAGAACAAAATGCTGCCCTTTCCATCATGGAAGTGGTCCAATGTAATCAACTTGCCACCAGGTTGTTGGCTGTGCACCTGGAGGGATGGTGCCATATCAGGGACTTAGTGTTGGTCTCTGCTGCTGGCAGATCAGGCGCTCAGCAGTAGCTGTAGCCAAGTCAGCCTTGGTGAGTGGAAGTCCATGTTGCTGAGCCCATGCATAACCTCCATCCCTGCCACCATGGCCACTTTGTTCATGAGCCCATTGAGCAATGACAGGAGTAGCTGGGGAAAGAGGATGACTGGCTTCCACAGAACGCATCATCCTATCCACTTGATTGTTAAAATCCTCTTCTGCTGAGGTCACCCTTTGGTAAGCAGTCACATGAGACACAAATATCTTCACTTCTCTGGCCCATTCAGAAAGGTTTATCCACGTACCTCTTCCCCATAAATCCTCGACTCCAATTTTCCAGTCGTGTTCCTTCCAAGCCCCTGACCATCCAGCCAAACCATTGGCCACAGCCCATGAGTCAGTATACCACCACACATCTCACCATTTCTCCTTCCAAGCAAAGAGAACAACCAGGTACACTGCTCGAAGTTCTGCCCATTGGGAGGATTTCCTTTCACCACTGTCCTTCAGGGAGGTCTCAGTAAAGGGGCTGTAGTGCTGCTGCTGTCCACTTTTGAGTGGTGCCTGCGTATTGTCAGAACCATTGGTAAACCAGGCACAAGCTTTCTCTTCCTCAGTCAAATGATCATAAGGAACTGCCTGTGAGGCCATAGGTGCAGACTGGGAGAGGGCAAGTAATGTGACAGGAGTAGTGACCATAGGATTTGGGCCACTTCCTCATGCAACTTGTGCCTTCATGTCCTGCTCGGGCCTGATCTCATATACCACTTCCATTTAATGATGGCTTGCTACTGTGCATGTCCAGCGTTATGACTCTGTGGGTCAGACAACACCCAGTTCATGATGGGCAGCTCAGGCCTCATGGTGACTTGGTGGCCCATGGTTAAGCATTCAGTCTTTACTAAGGCCCAGTAACAAGCCAAAAGCTATTTCTCAAAAGGAGAGTAGTTATCTGCAGAGGATGGCAAGGCTTTGCTCCAAAATCCTAAGGGTCGGCACTGTGATTCACCAATAGAAGCCTGCCAGAGACTCCAAACAGCATCTCTTATCTGCCACTGTCACTTCAAGCACCACGGGATCAGCTGACTCATATGGTCCAAGTGGCAGAGCAGCTTGCACAACAGCCTGAACCTGTTGCAGAGCCTTCTCTTGTTCTGGGACCCACTCAAAACTAGCAGCTTTTCAAGTCCCTGGATAAATAGGCCGGGGTAGCACACCCATGAGGGATATGTTGTCTCCAAAAAGCAAAGAGTCTATGTATACGTGTATGTGTGCAGTTATTTCATCATATATTTGAATGTGTGAAGAATATATCTGAAAGATACACAAGAAGCTGGCAACAGGGATTGTCTCTGGAGAGAGTAGAAGTGTGGCTGAGGAATAAGGAGGGTGAAGAACCCTTATATTGTAAGCTCTTTTGTTCATTTTTATTATGTGTATGTGCTACATATTCCAAAAAGTGAAGAAAGTAATATAAGTGTTTACACAATACAACAGTTTTGCTTCTAGATACTTTGCCTACAGAAGCCCTCACACATGTACCCAAAGGGGAAAAACAGTATTGTTTATAATAGTGAAAATCTAGAAACAACCAAAACCTTCATCAATAAGAGAATGAGTATGTAAAATGTGGAATAGTCATGATAGAATAGCATACAGCAGTTGAAGGAAATGAATTAGAATGATCTATGTATTAGGGAGCACTGGTGGCACAGTGGTTAAGTGCTCAGCTGTGAACCAAAATGTCAGCAGTTCAAACCCACCAGCTGCTTCTTGGGAGAAAGATGAGGCAGTCTGCTTCCGTTTCCAAGATTTACAGCCTTGGAAACCCTATGGGGCAGTTCTACTCTGTCCTACAGAGTTGCTATGAGTCAGAATCGACTAGACAGCAATGGGTTTTCGGTTTTTGGATCTACATACGTACATGGAAAGACTCCAAAACATGTTGAATAAAAAAAAAAAAAGCATAATACAGAGTATGTGTTTAGTATACCATTAAGTAAAAGTTTTAAAATACATTGATTATGTTGAATTGGAAAATGTTGTGTTATATGTATTTTTATAACAATAAAAATTTTTCTATTAAAAAAAGTTTATTAAAAGTATGAAAATCAATTAGAGAGATACCCAACTCACAATAGGATCCATCTCTGTAGAGGGTAGCGGGGAACTTCATGTAATATTTATTTCTTTAAAACAACTACAAAAAAAAGATGAGAATCAAACACAATAAAATGTTAAAAGTTTTAATTCTGAGTGGTAGGAATGTAGGTGTTTGTTATTTTATGTTTTTCTGTATATACTTTCAACACTTCTAGAAATTTAAATAAAAGTACAAATATCTAGCCAAGGTTCTCCAGATAGATTATTTTGCTTTCTTTAGAAAGTCAAGCAAATCCTAACAATCACCTTGGATACTACTAATAGGTGTTGGTTAAAAAAATAAAATTTTGTGTTAAAGGTTTTAAAACACTTGGAAACGCTGGTTGTAGCTTCAGATTCCATACTGAGCCTCATAGGACAGAACCATTGTCAAAGAGAATGTAGGGAAGTCTGATTCATATTACTGCATGACCCCTTGTACACACCCATTTGGTCATTCCCCAGGCCTCCTTCTGGCGAATTCCTATTAGGACCTTCTGTTGAGGAGGCAAGAAGGTGTGTCTCAAGGCATACTCCTCCTCCATGTGCTTTTTTGCTCTTTGTAGAGATAAAACATCCCATAGGCGGAGCTTGTGAACAACTCTTTAAAAACTGAAGTCTCTGCCCTAGCCTGATCATTCACTTCCAGCATCCTGCTGTGCCAAGAACCAATTAGCCAAAATGATACCTGGAGGCTTAACAGAAGCGAGACCTGCCACTGCAGAAATCCAGGCAATTGCTATTCAGGTGAGTTGATGCAGCCCATGAAAAGGTTTGATCCAAAATCTTGGTTCTTGAGTTGGACATGAAAACTAGAATCTTGGGGAATGTGTGGTATTGTTCAGGCTTCCTTACAACTAAAAATGTAATCCTGAGCTTCTCAGATGAGACCTTTAAGAACCCCAACACTGCCAGAGTGCCCATGAGCAAATCACATCCCTTCTCTGAGCCTCAATTTCCCCATTTGTAAAGGAGGAATTTGTACTGGATCATCGCCAAAGCTCTTCCAGCCCTTACGATCTATGATTTTAGGATTACTAATTCAGTTTCTGATGAAACTTCTAATCTCACCGAGTGGTGCCAACATGTAATTGAAGTCTAAGGCTGTTAACAATTTGTTGAATTAGCCTTCAAATGCACTGGAGGGAGACTTTTTAAATGGTTTGAAGAACAATATTGTAAAGGTGACCCACTTACAAACTTTCTACCAATTTGCCCAAACAGACGTGTTTTCATCTTTTAGAGGATAACAAAACTAGTAGAGAAGTGGCACAGTCCGTGATGATTTCACATGCTACAGGCAGCCAAATTGCTTATGGTAAAAACAGAGCTCAATGTTTTTAACAAGTTGCTACATTTTTCTAGGTGTTTTTTGAGTAGTTATCAATTAATCATAATATAATAAAATTTCATTGTGTTGTACAATCTGTGAAAGGAAACTACATATAAATTAGTCTTTTTGGTTAGTAACTTGTTGCCTTACTTTCTTGTATCATACCTTCTGGATTTTTTCCTCTAAAACTTCGTTCCATGACATTGCTTGGCAACAAGATCAGCTTCTTGTGTGAGTGGAAGAGATGTGATCCTCTGCCTTGAAGGGCACTGGAAAGTTCTCTACGGGGCTCAGATACCATTCATTCTTTGGGGCTAAATATTCCCCTTTCCAGGGTTCTTTAAAAAAAAATACCTTGAAGAGTGTTTTTCTTGGAGCGGTTCATATTAAGTCAATAATAAAAAAAAAAAAAACACACCAAACACATTGCTGAGTCAATTCTAACTCATAGCGACCCTATTGGACAGTGTAGAACTGCCCCATAGGGTTTCCGAGGCTGTAATGTTTATGGAAGCAGGCTGCCACATCTTTCTCCTACAGAGCAGCTGTTGGGTTCGAACCGCCAACCTTTTGGTTAGCAGCCAAGCACTTTAACCACTGTACCACCAAGGCTCCTTAAATCAAAAATACATATCAGGAATCCCTGGGTGATGCAAATGGTTAAAGTGCTTGGCTGTTAACAGAGAGGTTGGAGGCTGGAGTCCACCCAGAGGTGACTCAGAAAAAAGGCCTGGCAATCTACTTCTGAAAAAATCTGTCATTGAAACCCTTATGGAGCACAGTTCTACTCTGATACATGTGGGGTCAACATGAGTCTGAGTTGACTCGTTGGCAACTGTAAAAAAGAAAAGCATATTAAGTCATTAACGCTGTCATTTGAATTCCTGTAACAGATCACTGTTCTCAAACATGAATGTGCACGTGCATCACGTGGTAGTCTTGTTAAAATGCAGATTCTGACACAGTAGGTCTGGGGCGGGGCTTGAGATTCGGCATTTCTAACAAGCTCCCAGTCGGTGCCGATGCTGCTGTCCATGAACCTCACAAGCTTACGGGACCAGAGATACACGGCATCCTTACAGTCCTGTGCGAGAGGGAGCTTCCCAAAAGCAGGGGGCTGGAAGAAAAGTTCTCAGTTTCACTTGTAAAATAAAGACAACACCTCTTGCCCTGCCAATCTCAGAAGCATATGGATTAAATGAGGTAATGTGCACAAAAATCACTGGAAAATGAAAAAGAAATATGCATAGAGGAGACCTTACAATGTTTACTTCAAATTTTTATCTGGAATCATCCCTGACCCTGGAAAATTCCCCTGAGACTCTCCAGAGACCAGAGCTATAGGGAGGTGGGGAAAAATTAAAAACAAAAGCAAAAAAAAAAAAAAACTTTGCCATCGAGTCATTTCCAACTCACAGTGACCTTATAGGACAAAGTAGAACTGCCCCCACAGTGTTTCCAAGATTGTAATCTTTTATGGAAGGAGCCCTGGTGGTGCAGTGGTTAAGAATTCAGCTGTTAACCAAAAAGTTGGCAGTTCGAATCCACCAGTGGCTCGTTAGTAAACCCTATGGGGCAGTTCTGCTCTGTTCTGTGGGGTCGCTATGAGTCGGAATTGTCTTGATGGCAACGAGTCATCTTTACAGAAGCACACTGCCACATCTTTCTCCCACAGAGTGGCTGGTGAGTTCAAACCACTGACCTTTTGGTTAGCAGCCAAGCACGTAACCACTGTGCCACCAGGGTTTCTTGGGGAACCATAGGGGTTTGAAATATGGAGGACACAGAAGATTTTAGTGATTTTTTTTAAAAAAGCCTATCATCTAGTTAGCAAAAATAATTTTATTTTAAACAAGAAGCCTCCAGAAGATCGTGAATTGTTAATAACACCCATCTGTGAGCAACATCTTGAATTATAAAATTAATTTGAAAGTTTGTTTCTTACTGTTTATCTCAGGCTCCAACTCTGTCAGAGGTAGAGTGAGAGATATGTATTAACAATAGCCACCAGAGGTGCCTCGAAAGAAAGGCCTGAGGATCTGCTTCCAAAATATCAGCTATTGAAAACGCTATGGAGTACAGCTCCATTCGCTCTCTCATTTGATCTTCATAACCCCTGGGGCAGGCAAGGAAGGCATTATGTCCATTTTTCAGATGATGAAAACAAAATTTAAAAGGTTAATAGTCACCTAGTTAAGATGCTAACCTGTCTCCAGATTTTTTCCCTCTTGCTTTCTATCACACAATGCCAGGAACATAGCTTTGCGGGGCGAGGGAAAAATACTGGTGGGAGAGTGTGCAATTAACTTGCCTCCTCTGTCCAAGCAGCCAGCCTCACGTTTAAAACCATAAAAACCAAAAACCCAAACCCGTTGCCATCAAGTCAATTCCAACTCATAGTGACCCTAGGAAAACTTAATATCAATGAGTCACTTCACGGCTGGTGTATTTCTCGAATATCTCTTAGGTATCCAGCCCTGTGCTAAATGTTATGGAGGATACGTTAAGGACTCTAAGATATGGTCCCTGGCCTTAGGAGTTTACAGTCTAGTTTGAGAAGTCAAGGTACCTGGAGCATAATAGAAAATAATCTACAATTAAGTACTCTTTCATAATTATAGGTTCTGGACCAGGAAGGACATTAGAGACGGTCTTGTCAAACCTCCTTGCTTTTGGGTAAATAATTACTGTGTGGTAGTTCAGCTTCTCAGGTGTTAAACTCCCAACTGTCACTTACTTCCCCTCTCTCTGGAGCCTTGTTGGTGCCATGGTTAAGAGCTCGGCTGCTAACCAAAAGATCAGCAGTTTGAATCCACCAGCAGCTCCTTGGAAACCCTGTGGAGCAGTTCTACTCTGTCCTATCGGGTAGCTATGAGTTGGAATCTGTGAGTCGGAATCGACTCGATGATAACGAGTTTGGTTTTTGGTTTGTTTACCGTCTTTTACAGGAGAGCGCCTTAAGTGACTATTCTTAATTAAGGGCTGGAAGGTAGAGGAATAATGAGTACTTTTTATAGTTTAGGAAGTTCTTTCACACTAGTTATATAATTTACTCCCCCACAAACAACCTAGAGAGGCAAGTATTATTATATTCCACTTTATAGGTGAGCAAATTGAATGAATGACTTCGCCAAGATTATAGAATTAGTTGGATTCCCACTCAGGCCAGGCAAATGGATAGATGTTGGCAATCACATACCTAGTATTTTTTTTTTTTTTTTTTGATGGCGGGGGTGTGTACCGCCTGTCATTTACCTTGTAATTTTAGTCCTTTGATTTTTAATAGTATATATATTTTTTCAAATCACCTGTTAAAATGCAAGTATTCTTGGAGAAACCAAAGTTTGTCAACTTTCTCTGCCTTTTTTAGGGAGATTCTTTTTTTTAAATTATTTTATTGTGGTAAAAGTATATATAGCAAAACAGTTGCCTTTTCAACATTGTTTGTATGTACAATTCAGTGACTTTAGTTACGTTCGTCATGTTGTGCAACCATCACTATCCATTTCCAAGTTATTTCACCACCATTAACAAAAACTCAGTACCTTCTAAGCTGAGACTCTTCCTTTCCGCTTCCCTCCCACTCCTGGTAATCACTAATAAACTTTGTTTCCTATACGATTGTCTGTTTCATAAGGTGGGATCATACAATATTTGTCCTTTTTTGATTGACTCATTTCAGTCAGCATAATATTTTCAAGATTCGTTCATATTGTAGCGTGGACTTCATTTCTGTTTATGGCTGAGCAATATTCCATTGTATGTATGTACCAAATTTTGTTTACCCATTCATCTGTTGATGGATATTTTGGTTGTTTCTACCTTTTGGCTACTGTGAGCAGTGCTACAATGAACACTGTTTTACAAGTTTCTGTTTGCATTTCTGTTTTCAGTTCTTTTGGGTATATACCTAGGATTGGGATTGCTAAGTCATATGGTAGTTCTATGCTTAATTTTTGAGGAGCTGCCAACTTGTTTTCCACAGTGGCTATACCATTTTGCATTCCTCCAGCGATGGATGAGTGCTCCAATCTTTCCACATCCTCACCAACATAAGATATTCTCCATTTTTCGGTTTTTGTTTTGTTTGTTTTTTTATCATAGTCGTTTGCATGAAGGTGAAGTGGTGTCTCATTGTGGTTTTGATTTGCATTTCCTTAATGAGTAATGAAGGAGCCCTGGTGGTGCAATGGTAAAGTGCTCGGCTGCTAATCAAAAGGTCAGAGGTTTGAACCCACCAGTGGCTCCATGGGAGAAAAAACATGGCAATCTGCTCCAGTAAAGATTTATAGCCTAGGAAACCCCGTGGGGGCAGTAGGGCCACTTTAAGTTGGAATTGACTTGATGGCACTTAACAACAACGACTAATGACATTAAGCATCTTTTCACGTGCTTGTCGGCCATTTGTATATCC